CCCAAAAACTATATACTGTGTATACAGAAAAAATACATTATATACCCCCCAAAAAAAACTATATACTGTGTATACAGACTTCATACAAAATATACCCCCCCCCCCCACTATATACTGTGTATACAGACTTCATACATTATATAAAAATAAATACAAATAAAAAATAAACTGTGTAAAACAGACTTCATACATTATATAAAAAAAAAACATCCCCCCCACTATATACTGTGTATTACAACTCATACATTATATACAAATAAATCCCCCCCACTATATAATGTGTATACAGAATCATAAAATATATATACAATATACTGTAGTATACCAAACAATATAAAACTATATACTGTGTATAAAAGACTACATAATTATATACCCCCCACCCCCCCCAAATATACTGTAAAAAAACATACTTCATACATTATATAAAAAAAATCCCCCCCCACTAATATACTGTGTATACAACTTCATACATTATATACCCCCCCAAAATAAAAAAAAATAAAAAAAAAAACCAAAAAATATACTGTGTATACAAACTTCATACAAAAATATATAAAAAATCCCCCCCAAATATATAAAATGTGTATACAATTAAAATACATTAAAAAATACCCCCATCCCCCCCCAATATACTGTGTAAACAACTAATACATTATATACCCCCCCATAATATCCAAAATACTATAACTGTGTATACAAACTTCATACAATATACCCCCCATCCCCCCCCCCCACTATATACTGTGTATACAGACTTCATACAATATAAAAAATCCCCCCCCAATATATAAAAAAAAAAACTTCATACATTATATAAACCCCCCATCCCCCCCCACTATATAAATACTGTGTATACAGACTTCATACATTATAATAAAACATCCCCCCCAAAATACTGTGTATACAGACTTAAAATACATAATATAAATTATCCAAAAAAAAAAAAATATTATAAAAATACAAACTATCAAAAATTATATAAAAAAATCCCCCCACTATATACTGTGTAAACAATTCATACATTATATACCCCCCATCCCCCCCCCAACTATATAAAAAATGTGTATAAAGACTTCATACATTATAAAAATAAATTAAAAATAAAAAAAAAAACTATATACTGTGTATAATCAGACTTCATACATTATATATAAAAAAAAAAAAAAAAATACTGTGTAAAAAATACAACTTCATACAACATAATATAAAAAAAAAAAAAAAATCCCCCCCCAAAAAATACTGTGTATACAGACTTCATAAATTATATAAAAAATACTGTAAATACAGACTAAATACATTAAATACCCCCCATAAAAAAAAATCTAAAACTGTGTAAAACAACTTCATACATTAATATACCCCCATCACAAAAAAAAATATACTGTGTAAAAAAAAAATCATACATTAATAAAAACCCCCCAAAATATAAAACTGTGTATACAGACTTCATACATTATAAAACCCCCATCCCCCCCCCTATAATACTGTGTATACAACTTCATAAAAATTATATACATTAAATCCCCCCCCCACTAAAATACTGTGTAAAACAAACTTCCATACATTATAACCCCCCATAAAATAATTAAAAAACACTATAAACTGTGTATAAAGACTAAATACATTTAAAATACCCCCCATATACCCCCACTAAAAACTGTGTATACAAAATACAAAAAAAATCCCCCCCACTATATACTGTGTATAAAACTTCATAATTATAACCCCCAAAAAAATACCCAATATACTTACTAATAAACTTCAACATAATAATCCATAAAAACCCCTATATATACTGTGTAAAAAAAAAATACATTACTCCAAAAAAATATAAATAAATAAATTTCCCCCACCTATAATGTGTATACAACTATATTATATAAACCCCCCCCCCCACTATATACATGTGTATACAACTTATACAAAAATATTATATAAAAATCCCCCCCACTATAAACTGTGTATAAAAACTTCAACATTATAAAATAAAAACCCCCCCAAAAATAAAAATAAAGACTTCATACATTATATACCCCCATAAAAAAACTAAACATACCAACTAAACATTAAAATAAATTATTATATAAAACCCCCCCCTAATACTGTGTATACAAAAAAAAATACATTATATACCCCCCATCCCCCCCACTAAAAATACTGTGTAATACAACTTCATACATTAATAAAATAAACTATAAAAACTGTGTATACAAACTTCATACATTACCCCCAAAAAAAAAAAATATTACTATAAAAATAAAGACTTCAACAATAAATAATACCCCCAAATCCCCCACCACTATATACTGTGTATACAGACTTCAAAAACATTATATAACCCCCCCCCCCCCACTAATACTGTGTATACAGACTTCATACATTATATATACCCCCATTAACCCACTATATACTGTGTATACAACTAAACATTATATAAAAAAATTTCCCCCACTATATACTGTGTATACAGACTTCATACAAATATATACCCCCCATAAATATACTGTGTATAAAACTACAACAAATATACCCCCATATATACTGTGTATACAGAACTAATACATTATATAAAAAAAAAACTGTGTATACAAATTAAATACATATATCCCCCCATCAATAAAATGTGTATAAAATTTAAAAAAAACATATAACATGTAATAAAAACATATATACCCCCCATCCCCCCCCACTAAAACATACTATACAATAAAAAACAAAAACTTCATAATTATAATACCCCCCCCCCCCCCCACTATATACTGTTACTATACAGACTTCAACAACATTAATATACCCCCCATCCCCCCACTATATACTGTGTAATACAAACTTAATACCCCCAAATTAAAAACCAAAACTTAATATTACAACATAAACACCCCCCCCCCCCCCCATATATACTGTGTATACAGACTTCATACATTATATACCCCCCATCCCCCCACTATATACTGTGTATACAGACTTCATACATTAAATACCCCCCCAAAAAACCCCCCCACTATATACTGTGTATACAGACTTCATACATTATATAACCCCCCCCTATATCCCCCCCACTATATACTGTGTATACAGACTACATACATTATATACCCCCCAAAAACTATATACTATACTGTGTATACAGACTTCATACATTATATACCCCCCATACCCCCCCACTATATACTGTGTATACAAGACTTCATAAATTATATACCCCCCATCCCCCCACTATATACTGTGTATACAGACTACATACATTATATACCCCCCATCCCCCCACTATACTACTGTGTACTATCAGACTACATACATTATATACCCCCCATCCCCCCCACTATATACTGTGTATACAGACTTCATACATTATATACCATCCCCCCCACTCCCCCCCCACTATATACTGTGTATACAGACTTTAAACATACATTATATACCCCCATCCCCCCCACTATATACTGTGTATACAGACTTCATAAATTATATTATACCCCCCCCCATCCCCCCCACTATATACTGTGTATACAGACTTCATACATTAAATACCCCCCCCCTATATACTGTGTATACAGACTACATACATTATATACCCCCCATCCCCCCCACTATATACTGTGTATACAGACTTCATACATTATATACCCCCCCACTATATACTGTGTATACAGACTCCCCCCCATTATTATGTTGCCTGGACTGTATATAGTAACACAGAGTAGACATGATACAGAGAGCAGACCAGGATGGGGGGAGTGAGTGTCATTTATGGGGGGGTCCTGTCCCTCACACCCTCCATCCCAGGTGACAGGAGGACCCCCTTCTCCCCTCCTCCCCAGCAGCCAGGCCCGAGTTCCCCAACACTTTCCTGATTACCAGGGAAGACAGCCTTCATGACGCCGGATCCGCCATCTTGCCTGAGGGCAGAGTCCCGTCATTGGCCGACCACACTGCGCAGCTGCAGGAATGAACGTCACAGGGCTGTGAGCGGCGCTGCTGTGACAGAGACCCCTGCCGGCGGGCCGGTGTAATGGTTGTCCGGTGACGTGTTACATTGTACAGCCTCATTGATGATGACGTCATCCTACTTAACTATTTGCTGTCCGGGGCCATTTTCTTAAAGTGATATTAAAACGAAAACTATATTTTTTAATTATATTACAGTTTACCATTTTGTTACATGTGACGTCTGCATTTGTTTGACTTTTTAAACTTTCTTTTTCCTCTATTTGCATCTGGCGATCCGGCCAGCGAGTCTGTTGTTTTTTTTTTTTTTTAGCAGAACAGGCTCCCCAGCAGAATGTGTGGGTTTACAGGGATGAGACAAACCATTTACCACTGGCAGGGGTGCCTACAACGATCAGCTCTTATTTATGGATGTAAAATCTTCATCCTGAAAGGAACAAAACTGTTCACTGGAATGGATTATAAAGTGTGAGCCGGAGTTCGGCCTTAGTTTGTTAGTGTATCTAAATCTGCTAGTCCATCTACCCCCCCCCCGACTGACAATGCTGCTGTCCAAAGGTGCCCCCTGGGCTCTTTCATCCAGAGTGGGGGTGTCAGGGCTGGATCTAGGGGGGGTGCTGGGGTGGGCTATGCCTCCCAAAATTTTACTTGTGCCCCCCCCTCCTTCCAGATCTCTGAGAGCGTATCCACTGATCCATGAGCCAAGCTGATGCAGAGAGTTGATGTAAGGGGGGCTCTGATGGGGACACCTAATGTAAGGGGGGCTCTGATGGGGACACCTAATGTAAGGGGGGCTCTGATGGGGACACCTAATGTAAGGGGGGCTCTGATGGGGACACCTAATGTAAGGGGGGCTCTGATGGGGACACCTAATGTAAGGGGGACTCTGATGGGGACCCTGATGTAAGGGGGGCTCTGATAGGGACACCTGATGTAAGGGGGGCTCTGATGGGGACACCTGATTTAAGGGGGGCTCTGATGGGGACAAGTGATGTAAGGGGGGCTCTGATGGGGACAAGTGATGTAAGGGGGACTCTGATGGGGACACCTGATGTAAGGGGGCACTCTGATGGGGACACCTGATGTAAGGAGGACTCTGATGGGGACACCTGATGTAAGGGGGCACTATGATGGGGACACCTGATGTAAGGGGGCACTCTGATGGGGACACCTGATGTAAGGAGGACTCTGATGGGGACACCTGATGTAAGGGGGCACTCTGATGAGGACACCTGATGTAAGGGGCACTATGATGGGGACACCTGATGTAAGGGGCACTATGATGGGGACACCTGATGTAAAGGGGGCACTCTGATGGGGACACCTGATGTAAAGGGGGCACTATGATGGGGACACCTGATGTAAAGGGGGCACTATGATGGGGACACCTGATGTAAAGGGGGCACTATGATGGGGACACCTGATGTAAAGGGGCACTCTGATGGGGACACCTGATGTAAAGGGGCACTCTGATGGGGACACCTGATGTAAGGGGGCACTCTGATGGGGACACCTGATGTAAGGGGCACTATGATGGGGACACCTGATGTAAGGGGCACTATGATGGGGACACCTGATGTAAAGGGGCACTATGATGGGGACACCTGATGTAAGGGGGCACTCTGATGGGGACACCTGATGTAAGGGGCACTATGATGGGGACACCTGATGTAAAGGGGCACTCTGATGGGGACACCTGATGTAAAGGGGGGCACTCTGATGGGGACACCTGATGTAAGGGGGCACTCTGATGGGGACACCTGATGTAAGGGGCACTATGATGGGGACACCTGATGTAAAGGGGCACTATGATGGGGACACCTGATGTAAGGGGGCACTCTGATGGGGACACCTGATGTAAGGGGCACTATGATGGGGACACCTGATGTAAGGGGCACTATGATGGGGACACCTGATGTAAAGGGGCACTCTGATGGGGACACCTGATGTAAGGGGCACTGTGATGGGGACACCTGATGTAAGGGGCACTCTGATGGGGACACCTGATGTAAAGGGGCACTCTGATGGGGACACCTGATGTAAGGGGCACTCTGATGGGGACACCTGATGTAAAGGGGCACTCTGATGGGGACACCTGATGTAAGGGGCACTCTGATGGGGACACCTGATGTAAGGGGGACTCTGATGGGGACACCTGATGTAAGGGGGACTCTGATGGGGACACCTGATGTAAGGGGGCACTCTGATGGGGACACCTGATGTAAGGGGGAACTTCTATTGTAGTCTATTTTCTATTCTATTCCAATTCAAATTTATTCTATTCAAAATCTGAATTTCAGAAGACAGTTATATTCTTTCTATTTTATTCTATTCTAATAATTTCTATTCTATTAAAATTTAAATTTATTCTATTTGAAATTCGAATTTTGGAAGATGGTTGTATTCTATTTTCTGTTCTATTCTTTTCTATTCTATTTTATTCGAATTCAAATTTATTCTATTCAAAAATCAAATTTCATAAGACGGTTATATTATATTTTATTCTTTTCTATTCCAATTCAAATGTCTTCTATTTGAGATTTGAGTTTCATAAGACAGTTCTATTCTATTCTGTTATTTTATTCTATTCTTGTTTTTTCGAATTAGAATTCGATTTGAGTTTCGGATGTCATTTTGTTTTGCTATTTCGGATTCATTTAAATTGGTTATTATTGTAATTCAGAATTCAGATACATCCAAATCTCCAAACAACAAACAATTTGTCCGGATTTTGATTCAGAACAATGTGAACCGCACATGTCTGGTCTATGTACACGTGTTGGACCTAAGCGTGTGCCTGCAAAAATTGGCATTTAAACCCTCGCAGTGTGTGTGTGTGTGTGGTGGGGGGGCTATCCACTATTGTCCCAACTGACAATGGAGAGAGGTCATAGAGGAAGGAGTTACCCATGAATCATATGTATATCCCTACACGTGTGCACAGGACACAGAACACGCCAGGGATCTCTATAGTGACTGCTGGGGGACAATACTTGTATTAATCATCCAATACACACAGTGCGCACACGTCATCCACAATACACACAGTGCGCACACATCATCCAGAGTACACACAGTGCGCACACGTCATCCACACAATACACACAGTGCACACACGTCATCCACAATACACACAGTGCGCACACGTCATCCAGAGTACACACAGTGCGCACAACGTCATCCAGAGTACACACAGTGCGCACAACGTCATCCAGACAATACACACAGTGCGCACACAACGCGTCATCCAGAGTACACACGGTGCGCACACGTCATCCACAATACACACAGTGCGCACAACGTCATCCACACAATACACACAGTGCGCACACGTCATCCAGAGTACACACAGTGCGCACCAACGTCATCCAGAGTACACACAGTGCGCACCACATCATCCACACAATACACACAGTGCGCACACGTCATCCACACAATACACACAGTGCGCACACGTCATCCAGAGTACACACAGTGCGCACACGTCATCCACACAATACACACAGTGCGCACACATCATCCACACAATACACACAGTGCGCACACATCATCCACACAATACACACAGTGCGCACACATCATCACACAATACACACAGTGCACACACGTCATCCACACAATACACACAGTGCGCACACGTCATCCACAATACACACAGTGCGCACACGTCATCACAGAGTACACACAGTGCGCACACGTCATACACACAATACACACAGTGCGCACACGTCATCCACACAATACACACAGTGCGCACACGTCATCCACACAATACACACACAGTGCGCACAACGTCATCTCCACACAATACACACAGTGCGCACACATCATCCACACAATACACACAGTGCGCACACGTCATCTACACAATACACACAGTGCGCACACATCATCCACACAATACACACAGTGCGCACACGTACGTCATCTACACAATACACACAGTGCGCACACACGTCATCTACACAATACACAATACACACAGTGCGCACACGTTCATACATCACAATAAACACACAGTGCGCACACATCATCCACACAATACACACAGTGCGCACACGTCATCCACAATACACACAGTGCGCACACATCATCTACAATACACACAGTGCGCACACGTCATCTACAATACACACAGTGCGCACACGTCATCCACACAATACACACAGTGCGCACACGTCATCCACACAATACACACAGTGCGCACGCGTCATACGTCATCCACAATACACACAGTGCGCACACGTCATCCACAATACACACAGTGCGCACACGTCATCCAGAGTACACACAGTGCGCACACGTCACGTCATCCAGAGTACACACAGTGCGCACACGTCATCCCAGTACACACAGTGCGCACACTCGTCATCCAGAGTACACACAGTGCACACACATCATCCAGAGTACACACAGTGCGCACACGTCATCCACACACTACACACAGTGCGCACACGTCATCCCAGAGTACACACAGTGCGCACACGTCATCCAGAGTACACACAGTGCGCACACGTCATACAGAGTACACACAGTGCGCACACGTCATCCAGAGTACACACAGTGCGCACACGTCATCCAGAGTAACACACAGTGCGCACACGTCATCCAGAGTACACACAGTGCGCACAACGTCATCCACACACAATACACACAGTGCGCACACGTCATACAGAGTACACACAGTGCGCACACGTCATCCACACAATACACACAGTGCGCACGCATCATCCACACAATACACACAGTGCGCACACGTCCTCCAGAGTACACACACAGTGCGCACACGTCATCTACAATACACACAGTGCGCACACGTCATCCACAATACACACAGTGCGTACACGTCATCTACAATACACACAGTGCGCACAACGTCATCTACACAATACACACAGTGCGCACACGTCATCTACATACAATACACACAGTGCGCAATACAACGTCATCCACACAATACACACAGTGCGCACACGTCATCTACACAATACACACAGTGCGCACACGTCATCTACAATACACACAGTGCGCACACAACGTCATCTACACAAACAACACACAGTGCGCACACGTCATCTACAATACACACAGTGCGCACACGTCATCCACACAATACACACAGTGCGCGCACAAACATCATCCACAATACACACAGTGCGCACAACGTCATCCACAATACACACAGTGCGCACACGTCATCCACAATACACACAGTGCGCAAACGTCATCCACAATACACACAGTGCGCACAACGTCATCCACACAGTACACACAGTGCGCACACCACGTCATCCACACAATACACACAGTGCGCACACTCATCCACAATACACACACAGTGCACACACATCGTCATCCACACAATACACACAGTGCGCCCACACGTCACAACGACATCCACACAGTACACACAGTGCGCACACACGTCATCCACACAATACACACAGTGCGCACACATCATCCACACAATACACACAGTGCGCACCTACGTCATCCACATTAACACACAGTGCGCACACGTCATCCACACAAAAACACACAATGCGCACACGTCATCCACACAATACACAACGGTGCGCACACACTCATCCACACAATACACACAGTGCGCACACGTCATCTACAATACACACAGTGAGCACACATCATCCACACAACACACACACCACCACACGTCCCATTGATACACACAGTGCGCACCCGTCAAGCCACACAATACAACACAATGCGCACACAACCCGTCCATCCACACAAACACACACGGTGCGCACACGTCATCCACACAATACACACGGTGCCAGCACACATGCCAGCACATCCACACAATACACACAGTGCGCACACGTCATCCACACAATACACACAGTGCGCACACGTCATCTACAATACACACAGTGAGCACACATCATCCACAATACACACAGTGCGCACACTTCACATCCAGAGTACACACAGTGCGCACACGTCATCCACAAAATACACAGTGCGCAAAAATTCATCCAACGTCATCCACACAGTGCGCACAAACGTCATCCAGATACACACAGTGCGCACACCCAACCCTCCAGAATTGTACACACAGTGGGCACACAACGTCCAAATTCTACAATACACCACAGTGCAAACACACACGTCATCCACACAATACACACAGTGCGCACACGTCATCCACAATAACAATACACACATGCGCACAAACGTCCATCCACACAATACACACAGTGCGCACACATCATCCACAATACACACAGTGCCACACACACGTCAATCCACAATACACACAGTGCGCACAGCGTCATCCACAATACACACAGTGCGCACACGTCATCTACCAGAGTACAACACAGTGCCAACACGTCATCCACAATACACAGTGCGCACAACGTCATCCACACAGTGCGCACAAAAACGTCATCCACAGTACACACAGTGGGCACACGTCATCTACAATAAATCACAACAGTGCGCACACGTCATCCACACAATACACACAAAAAACACGTCATCCACAATACACACAGTGCGCACACGTCACCAAACAATACACACAGTGCGCACACGTCATCCACACAATACACACAGTGCGCACAACGTCATCAACACAATACACACAGTGCGCACACTCACGTCATCTACAATACACACAGTGCGTACACGTCATCGCCACAATACACACAGTGCGCACACGTCAATCTACACAATACCACACAGTGCCGCACACGTCACCACACAATACACAAATACACACAGTGCGCACACGTCCCCACATGTCAGAGTACACACAGTGGGCACACGATCATCCACACAATACACACAGTGCGCACACACACATACATACACACAATGCACACAGTGCGCACACTCCATCTACACAATACACACAGTGCGCACACGTCATCTACAATACACACAGTGCGCACACGTCAACGCACATCTAAATACACACAGTGCGCACACTCACATTCATCCAGAGTACAACACAGTGCGCACACGTCAATCTACAATACACACAGTGCGCCACATTTATTCACGACATCCAAATACACAAAGTGCGCACACGTCCCCCCCACACAATACACACGCAGTGCGCACCACGTCATCCACACAATACACACAGTGCGCCCACATCATCCACAATACACACAGTGCGCCCATACGTCATCCCATCCACACAATACACACAGTGCGCACCACGTCATCT